TTTTGGTTGCTGTTAGTTTTTAAAGTACTTCCAAGTTATGTGTCCCTCTTGTCCAAAACGGAGGTGTTGTGAGACGTTTGCAAGAAGACCTAATGCAAGAGAAGGACACTGATCAATGAATACTGACAATAGATTTTATTCTAGGAGGACAAATGAAAACAGCCCACTAGGTCTTCCCTCCTTCTTTCAAAATGTCAGACTGATGTCTTTTCTGCATCCTCTCCGGTAAATTCTTGCTCATGTATGTGTAAACACACATTCTGTTTTTTCTTAATAGACTTGCTGGTATTGATAAAAGAGAGGGCGGTAAGGAGGATGAAATATACTCCTGCGGTACAAGTGAGAACATTATACTAGTGCTGGAGTTTACAATTTCCATTTGGATTTACAGTTACCATGTACCATTTATAAACCCTTTGATTACCATGTATCAATTAAAAAAACTTTTTACATGTCAGGTATTTTTGAACGGTACAGAACCTGAAGCCTTGCAAACCGATGCATGGTGTACAAATACGATTTTTTCCTTCATTTTGCAGGAGGTTCGCTCATAGGCGTGCAAGGTCAGGCCTCTCTTGCCTGACTGCGGAAGGCTCACTTGTTGCTCAACACAAAATCTGTTGAAACAGTTAAGAATATTTTCATCTGTTGTAGGGGGCTCTGGCTCACACTGCTACTCTTCCAAGTTAAAAAAACTGAACACAGCAAGAGACCTCTCTCTGTCAGAATTTCCACTTGTTTGCTTCGCAGCAGAGCCTAGCTGTGAAGTGATTCATAATCTCAGGGCTCTTCAAATCACTGAAATGCACACGTCATTATTCAGATATTTGTGGATTATCGCTAATGTTTTTCAGTCTCAGTTTACTTTTGACAGTGGCTGTTGTTTTACGTTTTCCAAGAGAAACGGTAATCTAACCAGTTTACAGCCTCCTACCCTTCTTACCCAGCAATCACAGAAAAAAAAATGTTGATACTAAGTTAGAATCTGTATAGATTTATCATAGAAAGCGAGAATACTGGTGAAAATGTGAACCGCGCGCTCTGAGCGAGCCATTTGGCATATTGAACTGATGCTCAGGTTGTTAACTGGATCCCTCCAAAGTAGTGCTGCTTGTTTGTTAAGGAAGTTGATCTATATTAGCTACTTGCTAATGAAGCTAATGTGGAGAAGCTGAATAGGGGATCAGATTTTATATCACTATTAAAAGCTAAACAAGGAAGAAGTAGTGAAGTCATTACGGGATATGATGTGTTCAGTCCCTGCTTGTGATGTTGGGCTCCAACAGCACGCGGAGACTGTTATTCTCCAAGTCCTCAGTGCTTTACAGGAAAGGCCACAACAGTAATGAACCTTAAAAGATCTTAAGTTTCCAAGTACTATTGGATGTGCCTTAACACATGTAATGCAGATTACAAAGTGATGTGGTATGCTGTAGTAGTGACGTGAGAGTTTTTAAAAGGTAACCGAGGTTGTTACGGTGGTTGGGAATGGGTCTGTTCAGGGAAGAGAAGTTACTCTCGTAGTCTTGAGAGCGTTCTCCAAGACCCGCGTTGGACCTCGTGGCTTTTATGTCTTGCTCTATCCTCTCCGAAACAGACAAACAGTTGCTTATCTGGAGAGATGGAACAAGATTTAACAGATGGATTTGCTGCTTCTTTTGTTCCTTCATATTGTTTAGATAAATTTTTTAAACTACTTTCGTTTCTTAAGATCTTAAGCTTCAACATAGAGCTATGCCAGCTCGGCAGCTTGTCTTAAAGAGACCTAGATGTGAAGTGTGCTGTAACAGTCTGCAATTTGTATTAGCAAAATTTATTTTGGGGAAAGCTAGCACAATATCTGCGTGTGCTGTACTCTAGCCAACACTGTGAGTAATTTAATAAATACTAGGGGGAAAACAAACAAAAGCCAGAATATATGCTGAGTGCAGTAGTTATGTTTAAAAGTATTTTGTAGTTACGAATGCGCGGTGTTGATGGTGTGTAGAAAGACTGAAATAGCTATAGGGTGGTCTGAGATTTTATCACGGTGTTCTGCAAACCAAAATGTGTGTGTGTAGTCGAAAGACAAGACGGAGGAGAAGCTTTGCTCTTTCAGACAGGTTTGTCACACTTGAAAAAGTAGATTTACTTTTTTTATTATTATTTCCTTTATGTTCTTCTGTCCATTGAATGATGAAAATTATGGCTTGAGAACTGGCAGGGAGCAAAACAACTGGGATAACAGCTGACGCTTAAGGAAAGCGGGAGGCATTTTTTTTAGAAAACTAATTCCAGTTTGAGATGGGATTATGTCCAAAATGTGTGTCTTCTGCTTTCCCTAAGTGTTGTCTTTATGGTGAAGCAAAAGTACAGATGCTGCACGTGACTGGAGTGAGTGAACGTGCATTGTGCGTAAACACCCTCAAGTTTGATTGTTATCTCAAATCATGTCTCCTGGAATTGCCAGGAGAAGGGCGTTACAATTAACTTAAAATCGTCTCGTGTTACTTGCCAGTTTTGTGATCAGGAGTGGGGCGGGATTTGGGGGATGGCAAGAAATTGGGTCTAAATACATGCATGCTCCTTGCATACCTTTGACGCTGCATTGAATACTGGAGTTAGGCTCAAAACTGTGCTTGGTGCTAGCAGTGCTGCGAGGGCTGGCGCTTTTTCTTCAAAAGGAAAAAGTTGGGGCGGGGGGTTGGAGCCGTGTACCTGGTTGCAGTGAGAGTCTTGATTAGACCAAGCAAAGGTCGTAAGAGCTCCTTGCAGAAGAGTTATTTGTTAGTGGAAGATACTGGTTATAGGGGCAAGGAGTCTGGAGAGCAATAAAAAGCCAGGATCGCCACCAAAGGCAGCAGTTTTACTCGTCTGGCCTCCCCATTGCATTGGCTTGAGTGCTTGTGCGGCCATGTGGGAAACGAACTGTGTATCAGTGGGGGATGAGGACCTGATCCAAGCTAAAACTAGCCCATCCAGAAAAAGTTTGTCAGAGTGGCTTCAGCTTTCCTGAAACTTGGCCGTAGTATCACAGAGTTGTGAAAGGGAGGCTTTAGAGGTCTCCCTCAGGCCGGAGGCTGGCATTTTAGTGGTTAAAAACATCATTTTGGGCTTTTCCACACTTGTTGTTAAGGGAGTTTAAAAAAAAAAAAAGAGAGAGAGAGAGAAAGAAAGTTTATATAAGGGATGTTTACAGAATCATTTTTACTTCCTGGAATGTTTGGAAAATGGTGTTTCATTCAGTAAAAATTTTCCAGATAACTTGAACAGAAATGTTTAAAAAATGCTGTCGACTTGGAATAGGTTAATTTAAAAAATTGCACACACACTTTCAAGTAATAGTTATATCCAAGATTTCTTCTACTGTTTCTTCTAATTTTCCTTCTGATTCCTCATTATTTCTTGTCTTCTGTGATTAATACCTCCTACATCTAGCCGTACAGAACTTTACCAACACACACACAGTGACCAACTAACTGATGATAGAGGTGAAATTCTTTACGTGCAAGATGACATCAAATGCACAGAGGAAACATTCCTCATGCGTATTGTTTGTAACGCAGTGATTGAGTTTATCCACCTAATAAAGTGATGATCTATGATCCTTATTTTTGATCCTTTGCATCTTTTTCAAAAGTGGGGTACGTAGTACTTACTGGAAACTTTTGCTATGTTTGGAAGCAATTCAGCACAAACCAAGTTGGAAACTATTTTAAATGTGCATAGTCTAACCCCAGAATATGTTTTTCTCTCTTAGTGGCACAAGTACATCCTTGCTGCAGTTCCATATATGGAAATTTGCCATCAAAGAGCGTCATATTCCGAAGCTCGCGTTGAGTCAGGAACCCCTCAGCAGTAGTCAGACCTCTTGGTTAACGGTTGTAACCACGCCAGTCCTCTGCTTCTCCTTTAGGAACGATTAAACCTACGGTAGATGATAGTTTGTGTGACATCTGGGAAAATGCCAGTGGTGGGGAAGAGGTGACTCTCCCCCCCACCCCGCCTTCGCCTCCAAGCTGGGACGCTGCAGAAACTGACCATGCTAAGGAGCATATGGTAACTGTAGGTGTGCGGTAGCCTGCGCAGTAGAGTAGAGCTAGGAGAGGAGAGGAAGGCCTATGTCCACATACTACACTTGCCTGCTCTTTCTTCCTGAATGTTCATAAATATTAAAGCAATGAATTTCCTCATTTTGCAGTAGTATTTCACAGAGGAGCCTTAGTTTACAGGATCTGTTTTTTTCGTTAAGTCTTCCCGCTGTGCATGTGACGCAGCTTTATGGCTGATTTGACCTACAGCTGATGGAGTTGAGGGTGCGCGTATGTGTTTCAGGAGGAACAGAGGGATTCTGCCTGGTGTTTTCCAGATTCCTGAGGCCCTCTCTTTAAATATGTTTACATGATTGCTTTAAATGCAACTACACGGTTTCCTAAGTAAGCAGCTTTTAAAATTTCCATTTCAATTTTTCAGTTTTCAAGTCGGTTTCTAAAGTAGGGGGAGCATCATACGCAAGGCTCCAGCCTCTGAAAGTGGCTTTAAAATATTGGGTGGGCGTGGGGGGCTTTTTTGTCCTCTCGTTGTTCTTTTTACTCCCTTGTGAAGTGCTGGGGTAGAAGTGAAGGATGAGAATGAGGAACGTAGTTTTCACATCTGTCATGGCAATTGGATTTGACAGCTCATGTACTTATTAACTATGCTGACTTCTTCGCAACTTGTGTTTTGCCATTAAATGGATGGATGGTTTCCCCCTTCCCACTCTTCTTGATGTGTGGCATCAGGAGTAAAATTCACTCAGAAAGAGTGCATGTGAAGGTGTCTGCCTTACGTTACATTATTACGCAGCACGGCAAATACTTGACGGGACTAATCTGCCGGTTGTAACCACCCTGGGGATCCCAAATGGCTGATTTGCTGGAAATGCACTGTGGTCTGAAAAAGCAGTTTCTGCATGACGTAGGCCTTTGTTTATCATGTTTGTGTGAAATAATAACCATGCTTTCATTATCTCTTTCTTAAAGCTTGTACAATGAGGATAGAAACTTGCTCCGTATTCGAGAGAGGGAGAGACGGAATCAGGAGGCTCTGCAGGAGAGAGACACGTTCCCTGAAAATGCCCCCCTCTTTGCAAAACCTTACAAGGTAATTGTAGAGGGCCTTGTGGTCAAGGGAGAGGAGGAAAAAAAGCTGGCTGGAAGAACTGTGGCGTCTATGTACAGTGTAATAGTGTTCAGCACAATGCATAGAAATACCACATCGTCCCATCTGCTTAAGTTTAAATCATCAGAGTATGTGTTTAAAGCTCTGTAGACTGTGCAATCACAGTACTGGCTGTGGGTTGGGCAGCTTCATTTGGGGGCCTCCTGTAGTCTGGGAGTTTGCAGGAAAGCGCCTGTGACCAGCTTGGCTACCTATCTGTCTGTAGCTACAGTTGAAGCAAAGTGGTCTGATGTTAGTGACCCTGCAGCCTGCAGGCATGACTGCAACCTTTGCTCAAAATTAACACTGACAAGAGCCGTCGCGTTTGTTTTGGTGAGACTGCCTGCAGGAGCAAGATGAGCTTGCATAACTTGACTCACTGTAGTGAAGCGTGATTTATTCAAATGAGGTCCTGAAGGGCCTCTCTTCTTGAGCTGGATCTCTGTTTGTCTTTTGCATGCTTTTTTAATACCCCCATCTCTGTTCTTCTGTTTCAGACTAATAAAGAGGATGAATTGTCAAGCCGTATTCAGAACATGCTGGGCAATTACGAGGAGGTCAAGGAACTCATCAGCACCAAATCCCATCAGAATCTCATAGGGGTACCGGAAAGTGTTGTTTCTCTGATTCCACAAGGAAAGCCTGATCGCCCATTCTTCCCTGAAAAGACCAGCCATGCATTACCATCTTCATTCCAGCACACAGCCCGGCCTCAGCCCATGGGACCTCCAGTCATAGCTCCTCCCCCACCAAGCAACTCCATTCACTACCAAAAGACACAGTCAAGGACACAACCAGCTTCAAGTTTGCACGCCAAAAGTCACAGCTTATCCAGTAGTCGAAGCCAAGGTCAAGAACACAGTCGCGGCCAGGAAAGTCACGCAGCGTCTCGCCACAAGAGAAACGACAGGCGTGTTGTTGGTGAAGATCGTACTGATGAACTGCAGGCCTCCCTTTTGGAGCTTTCTCCATTGTTGTCATCTTTGTCTTCTCCAGTGGCACCCCTGTCACCTCTACATTCCAGCCAGCATATCAATTCCAGGTCACAGAACAGCAACAAAAGTCATGGGCCGGCCTACAGTCAAACAAAATCACCTCAGGACCTAGTGGCAGGATCACAGGAGAACGAAAGTCGGGACAGTTCAGCCGTTAACTTGACTAGTACCACTCAGCCTTCCTCTCAGACCTTTCCCCCCTCTTTGCCATCAAAAACCAGTGCAATGCAGCAGAAACCTACTGCCTATGTCAGACCAATGGATGGCCAAGATCAGGCACCAATTGAATCACCAGAGCTCAAACCTCTCGCAGAGGAATACCATGGAGAACCCTATGAAAAAATCTCAGATTTGAAGGCGAATGCCAAGGCCAAATTATCCAAACTGAAAATCCCTTCTGAGCCCATTGAGGTGAGTGAAATTGTTGGGGGGCTTCTTGCCAGCTGGCAAAGTTCAGCTGTTGGAGAGTAGATTTTTGGAAGACACAGGCTACCAGAAGTGCTAATGGTTTACCTTGTTTAGAAGCTGCATTTTGAGGTTGACTTTTGCTGACCTGGGTGAGATCTGTTTGCATCATGAAAATGCAGCACCCGTCATGGTTCTGTGGATTTTTCAGTGATGCTGCAGTAGGTTTATATGGTTAGAGAGACTGTTTCCATTGCGATCATTTTTCCTCTGCAATACTGTTGAAAAGGTGAAGGGGGGGTGGGGGACACAGTATGCTGAGAAGGTCAAGTGATGATGCATCTGGAGTCAGTACATCATCGAGAGTGTCAGTATTCAGTCTGAGTGCTGGTGGGTAGAGAGGTCCACAGCCCTAACGGCATATTGGGACTGGTGACTGTCTGGGTTGAATTTTTTGGGACTCTATGTTAAGTGACTCTGAACACCTCAGAAGTCACTTAAGTCAGTTTAGAAAATGTCACTGTTAGACCAAGTATTAATATGAACAAGAAACTTCTTGAAGATTTTTGCAAGATGGTTTTAGCCTAGCTTTCTAGGGAAACATGCAACTGTTCTGTCTCCCCTTTCATCATATACCTTTTGAGCAAGTAAAGCGGAGTTTTCAATTGAGGGCCTAAAAGTTTTGTAAAATTTTGCATCTGAGTAATGGAAATACCCTTTTCTTTGTCCCAACTAAGAGAAAAACGACCAGAACTCTACTGTTTATTTGTTCTTAGTTGGCACAAAGCAATCTGGGCAGTCAGCTCAAGTATATCTTCATTGTAGCTATAACACTTGCTGCCTTCTGCCAAGGAAATGAAAGAGAGAGGGATGTCTTAAAAGCTATGAGACGGAAAGCTGCAGTTGTTGCAGTAAAAATATGGCAGTTGGGCCAGAGACCAAAATGTGTTGCACATGAATCTTTTGTTATTTATGCTCGTGCTAGATCAACCTGTTCCCAGTATTTGTTGTTGTTTTCTTGAGAAGCAAACACTTGCTTTTTCATCTGTCCTGTCTTTTAAAACAAGTAACTTTCTGGGGCTCAGAAAGCCTGCAATTAGACTTCAGTTTTCAGATGCTCTTTTGTCATTCACTCTGCCCTTTTTTGGTCGTTTTCATGGATTGCATATTTCCAGATTGAGAAGTTTCAATTGATTGGTTGAGTGTGGAATACACAAATAAAAACGTTCAAATCAGAGCATAACACTGCTGCTCTTGTGCTGCTTGCCTGGCCCTCTTGCTATAGGGAAGAACACTTGAGAATGCAGGTAGAGATTTTATGTAGTTGTCCATGCAACTTGAGGTGTTTGGAGATCATATGCAAAGTGTGGTGAAGATTGGCATCGTTGAGTGGAATTGGGATAGTCCGTTCTAGCTTTCACTTCAGAGAAAGAAAAAGCGCAGCTATGTGAGCGATTCAGAAGGCTTTTACGAAGATCTCGGAAAGCATATCACACCTACATTTGGACCTTGCTGTGAAGTCATTGGGGTGCATCATTTATGAGACTGCTAGGAAACTTAAAGGGATGGGATGGCCATAATTATAATTATTTTTTAGTCAGAGGGTACTTCTCCCTTCCTTTATAATTGTTGTTTTGGTACAGCAAGATTCCCTTTTCTACTCCATCTGTTTTTGCTGACTACAAGATCACCCATCTGATTTGTCATGTATTATGGAGGCAGAAGTCTTCAGTTTCTCGGATGTGTTGCAGATAAAGATGCTTGAAGCTCGCATTGACAGAGCAGTTTTAGAGGAGGAGGAGTGTTGCTGCACATGTGTTTTGTTCAACAAATACAAACTCTTTTTCATTCTGTCTTTATAAAGCCCGTTGTATCAGCTTTGCTGAGGGGAACTGCTCGTTGATGCTGTCTGCCTTGCAGCTCTGTCTCCCATGCGCTCTTGCTTGCCAGATACATCTGGGAGTTTTACCATACTCATCCTTCAGCTCCGAGAGTATTCCAGTACCCTATGGGATGTACGATCCCACAGTGCTGAGCTAAGGCAGTGCGGCAAGGAGAGCTACGGAGATACTTTCCAAATTGTATTTTGCCTTTGTAATAAAAAGGGAGAGGATGGGTGTGGTTTGGTTTTCATGGAAAATGGTTTTGTAGGTTGTTTTGATCAGCTGCAAATAGCTTAAGGCACTTTCTAGTGAAAAATGACAGGAAACTGGAAAAATTACTTTTGTCGAGAAGTTGTGAAAATACTTTCATGCTGAGAGACTGTATTCACTTCAAAGCAGATTTGGCATTGCGCATTGTACCTTAAAATAGGAAGTACTGTGTAGTCTGGATTTCATTATTTGCTTGACCAGATATTTTGCTCCTGGGGAAGAAGTAAAGCAATACAGGATCTCAGCTTCTTCATTACCCATTTTAAAAGCTAAAAGGGATTTCTAATTTTAAAACTGGATTTTTAATGCCTGTTTTTTGTTGGGTTTTGTTGGGTTTTGTTGTTGGATGCGTGTGTGTGTTTGTTTGTTTAGAAACCGCTTCTCAGAAATGAGACTTCTCTATTCTCTTTCAACTCTGGTCCCATTTCTATTTTCATCTTATCCCTTTTCACATCCGCTTGCTTTCCTGTCATCTCGTGGGTGTGTTAATCCGAAGTAGGATAGGGCAGCGTTAGCTGTGCTGCTGTATACCGAATGGAACTTCTTGCTGCTCACTTCCCACTGAGCACGTGACTCTGAATCCAAACGTCCACCAAAACGCTATAGCTGCCAGAGCACGAGTAGCACCATCCGCGCTCGCGTGGGAATGCTATTGGATCTGCGGCAGAGTAAGAATAAAACGAGAAGGGAATTGAAGCTAGTGCAGGAAGTGGTTGTGGACAAGCCAAAACCCTAGTTTTAATTTTATGCTTACTCCATTAAAAAGCTGATAGATGAAACCGGTTGTGAATATACTGAAGGGTCCTCATTTGGTGTAGGTATCTTCAGATTGTTGACCTACTATGCGTAGGCGTTTTGGATAATGGCTCTGTAAGTTCTAGTAAAAAAAAAGAAAAAACACGTGACTTCTGGATTACATTGTCTACTTGTTTCAGCCTTGTTATTATCATACAGATTCATTTCTGTTTGGTTTTGACGATTAACCACGTACTCTTTCACTGCTTAAGCTGGTGAGGCTGGTGAAGAAGGGAGAGTATGATTGCACACCTGGATATATTCTCCATGTGCGGGATGTGCAGTGTGTGATAGGTGATTGCAGGACAGGGGTAAGTTGGTTTGCTTTTAGGAGAAATACAGTGGTGTATGTTGCATGCAGATGAAAGATTTCCCCAAGGAAGGGATCTTGAGAAGGCTAATCAGGGGGTCCTTTGGGGAGAGCTTAGCCATCACATTTGGTTTTGTTGACATGGAGCTGCAGGGAGGCTCCTGCCTTCCCGTGGCTGTGGCAGTGAATGGGTATTGCCTAACAGAAGCTCTCTGCTCTTCTTTCCTCTTCCTCCCAGCAACTTGGAGCATGATTTTATGATTTTCATTTATGCTATTCGACCCCAATTAGACTGAATAGCCACATGCCAAATCCAGTTTTTCCCGTGGTCTTCCTTGACATCATTTAGGACAGGGCTTTCTTCCACCGCATGTTTTTTGGCTAATTGAATTTCTAAGGCTTGTGTCACCTGCAGCTGTGAATTCATTATTGACAGCTTCTGTTCATGGCAACACTGACAAGTTAAGCTTTCCAGTCTGAATAGACAAGCAGATTCACTGTAGAGTGAATTAATCCACAGTGGATAACTGTGCAGTGACTCACTTTGCATTCACATACAGAAACCAAACAGCTCTTTCCTTTCTTCCCCAAATAAAAGTCTTCCCTTTCAAAATTCCTCCCCTTCACTTTAAGGCATCTTTTCAAATTTGTTGTGAGAAGACATTAAAAATATAGCATACGCAAAGTTAGAGGTATTCATCCTCTTAATGTGCCATGTTTTATCTTTTTCCCCAGCCCTTAAACAAAGATGCTTTTAAAGCTGTTCTTTCTTTTCATTTCTTTAGGAGAGCCACAGCACCAACAGTGACCCTCCTGTTACCCCCATTTACAAAATAAGACTATGATGCCTTAAAGGGAATTGACTTTACAGCAGGGCCAAGAAGCAGTGAGGCTGGTTTGAGAGAGGGTGCTTGTAAATCCTAAAGCATTATTAGGATCATAGCATCCGAAAATATACAGCTCTTGACGCTCCGTGGAGTTTTGGCTTTCTTTTCGTGTCAGAGTTTCATAAATATTAGGGAGTAGCTCCTTTTGTCTCCTGTAATGAGGTATCATTGAACTGTCCTCTTTTACCTGCCAGCTGGGAAGCAAACGTTGATTTCCAAAAAACATTTCCCCCAAAACAGACAAGTCAAGTCTTTCTGGTAATGCTGTATTATGCTTGAAGCACAGGATACACACAGTAATCTCGACGTTCAAACTGAGATCGCTGTCTTCAAGCTTTGTTCACCTCAGGAAATGTTTTTGAAGGCCGCTGGTTAAAGCATGACCATTGCATGGTATCTGGTAGTGGCGAAAAATAGATTTAAAAGTCCATTCTGCGTAAGTAATTTTTCACTGACTTCTGTCAGTGTTAATAAATTAAGTCTTTTACTGGCATAAGTGACTAGACGGTTGAACGCAGTAAACTAGGAAAAAAATTATTGTTTTAATTCTGGGTCCTTTAAGAAAGAAAATCTTTAAAAATATATTTAGCACTGCCATTTGGTCTTACCTAATGAATGTGGAATATTTAGCATTAGGTTACTAGCCTCTTCTTTCCACCAATCCTATATTTATTTCTCATTTACTACATAGACGGGAGATTGATCCCCCCCCTTTTCCTTTTATAGTTTCTTTATTTTCCTTTGCACCAAGGGAGAAGTAGCAAGCTGTTACTTCTGTGTCTCCTGTGCTGCTCTGTGGTCAGAAGCACTTTATGTGATTTAAAAGGGTTTCTTTGCTTCACCAAAAGCATTGTGTGAATT